TTTTATCACAAAGTAGTCATCAACACAAGTTTTTAATAAAATTGGATATTAAAGTGTTATTCTTACAAAAATTGGGCCGTAATTGTAAATTTTTGGCTTATTGGGCCACGAACGTCGTTTTTACAAAAAGGTGGGCTTTTTATATCAACTTAGTAAATAATCAATCTAAAATAAACAAAACAATAACAAACGGGTTAAAAATGATATTCATATCCTTATTGGGCCTGGAAATAATGTACATGTTTAGCGGGCCTTAGTGTCCTTTTACATGTATATTGGGTCTAGGATAGACATTCACATTCCTTTTGTGCTTGGAAATAATAGACACATATAGTGAGCCTTAGTGGCCCACTTACATTTTTATTGGGCCTGAGAATGAGTTTTATGCTAGAAAATGTGTTCTTCTTTTTATGCTATTTTAGTGAATACTTGAACTAAAACCAATGATAAACCAACAAATGGATTTAATTTGATTATTTTCTAGGTTATTGGGCCTTAGTGACCCATTTCTATGTGTGATAGGTCCTGTATACTATTTACATGTTTATTGGGCCTCATTGACCCATTAACATGTGCGACGGAACTTGGATACTTTTTGTGTGCTATTTGGGCCTGTAAATACTTTATATGTGAAATGGGCCTTAGTTGTCCTTTCATATATATTTCGGTCCCATGTTATATAATCTCATTCCATTTGGGTCTTGAAATGATTTACATGTTTAGCGACGCCTTAGTGGTTCACTTACATGGATCATTGGTCCTAGAATGAGTTTATACATTTTTCTTCGCGTAAATTCGATTAAGGATCTAGCGAGTTTTTATCGGTTGACACCTATTAAGTGTACGATCGTAGCCTGTAGTTATAACCAGAGTCTCCTGGAGGGAGAACGGGGATTTGTATATAGATCTATACGGGGATGACACCCCACACCTCAGTTGTTCACTACAGTTAGACTTACTCAGTCTAGGGTGACGAAAATCTTATTCTATTTTCCGTCGGCGTCCACGACGCCAAGACAGGCGAAATTGTCATTATTTACTATGGTTATGACGGCTCGCTTAGAGGAATTAACGTTATGAAGTTTACGGAAGACCCTTTTTTTAGGCAACATCGGGTTGTCTGGGAACATTCTCTTTACATGCTCTTACATTCTCTTTACCTTTTTAGTCAAATAAACAAGAACATACATGCATTAATACAAGATCTAACACAAACACACTAAACAGTTTTCAGAAAATATCGGATTTTCTGGTGGTTTTCAAAGTTATACAAATCATTTTCACAAACATGCTTATGAACTCACCAACATTTTTATGTTGACCATTTTCAAAATAACTTGTATTCTCAGGAAACAGTTGAAGCAGGATGAACGAAACAAACTAATGGATATTGTGTGATATTTTGTTTCATTATACTCTTGCTATTGTGGCATGTAATATTCAAACACAATACTCGATGTAAAAAATGAATGTTGTTATATTACATGTGTGATGATGATGATGTTATGTTTCAATTATATTCACTGTAATGATATTTCAAGATGAAGTCACGCGCAAGCCCCCGGACGTTTTCGCCGTTTGGTTCAGGGGTGTGACAGGAAAAATGAGAGTGTTGGTGATGCTCCCTTTGGATGTGAATAAGAATAAAAGAGAAGAATGAAAGAAGTGTTGAAATGATGTTGCATGGGAGTATGTGATTATCTTGATATTTGTTGTGTTTAAGCATGGAAGTCCACCATACAAAGATTAGGTGGCACTTAGTTTGTCAAACCATTTCTTTTCTTCTTCTTCTTCTTCTTTTCTTTTGGATATGGGTCGTGAATGAGGAGAAGGAAAGAGAGGAAGAAGTGTTTGGGCCTACATTGGACACGTTCGAAATTTTTGGTCCAATATGAAGGTTCTCGGCCCATGAGGCCCTTCTTATGGGTTCACGACCCAAAGGTGGTGAATGGATGGGGTTTACGACCCAATTGCAACGAGAAGATGGGTTTACGGCCCATCATAGTTCAATAGGGTGGTTCATGGCCCATAAAGTCCCATGAGGATAAGTGAGTTAGTTTAGAACTAACATGGCCCAATTGCTATGGTTTGACGAATGTGGGCCCAACTAGAGCCTAAATGGGTTTCATTGGCCCAAAATCATCAATTAAGAAGTTCATTGGCCCATTAGGCTCAATAAGAGGATCCTAGTCCATAATAAACTTGAACCAAAATTTTTAGGGTTTCAGGGCATAGCTAAGTATATGAGATGCATTGTATTAGGTTTTGAACTTCACTGAGGAGTTTTGATTCAAAGGGATAATTTTGATTGAGCATAGAGTATGATATCCACTTAGATTACAAGTCTTACAATAGTTGATGGTTACATGAAAACATAATTTTCTAGCTAAAAATGCAAGTTGTGACACTAGGGGTCTTCAGGATTTTGCATGATAGAATTGCCTAATTATATGATGTCTGATATCCTAGGGTTCTTCTATAATAGAATTGACATCATTACCGTAATTGCTTAGTGTAAGCATCATGGTCATGCATAACTAAAATTCTATAGCCTTAGAATTTTTGGTCTGGCCTTATTTCCATTCTTTTTTGATGAAGGGCTTAGGGTAGGATCAAATATTCAATTGTCTATATGGTCCAGTGTTATGTATGACTAGCATACACGAGTGTTGCAGGGTTGGTGGAAATTTCATGGATGAGTTGTGTGGGGTTAGTCGGCCAGTTGCGAGATGTTTAGCCTTCCCTCTAGGGGGTGAGGATTGAGTGTTTGTTTATGATAGTGAGTATTGTTGGGGTGTTGTGATGATCTTCTGAGACAAATACGGGTTGGTGTGGAAGGTAGTATGGGTCTGTATTACTTAAAGCACAGGACCCGTATGCGTAACAAGGAAGTCACAACCCCTAAATCTTTGTTGAGAGTTAGTTCCCCTATTATGATATGTGTGTTATCTGATATCCTCCTGGTTTATTTTCAGTATGGTGACTACGCTTCGATTTGAGACTGGGTTCGGTTTGCGATCAGGAGCTGGGCGTCAGGGTGAGTCAGCTGCATTGGATGACAGGATCTGGGAGATCCTGTAGGAGGAGGTTGTTGCTCATTTCCTAGCTTAGTTGCCAGATTATTGAGTATTTGGATGAGCGCTATGTTGTTTTGTTTGAGACTATTACTACTGCAGCCACTACAGTCGTTGCGGTTGTAGGGATTGGATCGGGTTGAATTTTTCAATATCGGGACTTCGACAATTTTCTAGGTCATCGTGAATAAGGATGTGGTAGCCGTCCGCCCCCGCCAACCAAATTAGCCATCGCCCACATTTGATGACAGTATGTCGGATAACCTAACATCTTGTTTCCGAGTTTCAACAAAGAGATTGAAAATTGTATTTCTGTATTCTTGGAGGGTAGTGAGAAAAATAAAAAATTTCTTCTAATTCTCCAAATCCTTTAGAATTGAAATGAATGTTAGGGAAAGTTATTCTTTCATTTCTTTTTATTAAAAAACTCTCGAACATAAAATAATATATAAATTGAAGACCCCTACAATTTTTAATAATTAGCAGTTTAGCACAAAAGCGATTACATACATATCGGATCTTTTTTTCAATTTCATTGGACTAAACGGCAAGTCATAAGAAAATATCAATTCGTCATGTAATGTCTACAACACATCATCGGATAGTGCAAATTTAGCAAGTGGTAACCGGAAAGTTACCTAATAAACTACTGAAACAGAGGAATTGTCAAGTTTGCCATAAAGTGATTGTTTATGCATATAAAATAATATATCAAAAACGAAAATGAAAAAAAAAAAAAATCTTAAAATAGTAGTTTTTAACGTTTTTAAATTAGAAAGCGTACGTCTCGCTTTAGTCTTTAAATGTGTATTTTTTTTTGAAACTGAACAACATTTATTTAAATTTAAAAAAGTTTGGTGGCAAAAACATTGTTGGCTGGAAACTGGAAAGTGACATTGCCGAAGCTCGTTGTTCATTTAATATTCCCATAACTTTTTATTACTTATTTTTTAAATATTAGCTTTTAAATTGGAAAGCAATAGAAAAATCCATAAAAATAACTGTTTTCAGTTCAACGATTAATTTTAAAGTAAGACATTTTCTTAGTATCATGTCTACATTTATGTATAAGCAAGTATCATATCCAAATTTTAAAAACACCATTGCTCTACATATAACTTATCAAAAATCATATTAGGTGTTAAAAATCGCATATTTATTCAACATGTTCTTAGGTGCTGTTTGTTTTTCTAAAGCCAAAATGTCTGCAGTCTGCGGACCACATCTGCAAGCCTCTGCAGCAGAAAAGGTGAACCAAACGTCTGCAGTCTGCAATAAGAAGACTGTTTGTTTTTTAACGTCTACAGGCTGCTGAAATAAACTGAATTTTAAATAAAATTATTTTACAAACTTAAAATGATTTTTCAACACCAAAATTTTAATAATAATAGTCTTATAACATTGAAAATAAAATTCATGCAACTAAATTAGTCATACAATAAAAAAAAATGTTTTACAATAACAATTTCATTTAAAACAATTCAATGTATATTGTGCATCAACTGATCAGCAATTTCATCACGTAACTGAGTCATATATTCACGGTCTGCTGCAGTACCATGTGTTGGAATCCCGTCTTCATCATCATCAATGGCCACATTGTTATTTCGAAACGGGACATTGGGTTCATCGTATCGTGCGAAATACTCATCACTCAATCCTTCTTTCCTTATATAATTATGAAGCGCGAAGCATGCCATGGCAATGTTTCTTTATGTCACAAACGGGAATGGTGCCATCCTCTTCAATATAGGGAAGCGTGCTTTCAAAACACCAAAAGCATGCTCAATGACATTTCGAAGTTTTGCATGTCCATGGTTAAATTTTTCTTTATTGGTCAATGCACGTCTTTGACGAAAATCTCCAAGCCAATACCTCACATTACGATAAGGGGCCATAAATCCTCGAGTGTGTGCATACGCGGCATCACAAAGATAATATTTGTCTGAAAAAAATGCAAAACACTAATCAATTTTCAAATTAAAATGAAAATATTAAAAAAAAAACAAAAAATTACCTGGTGGTGGAAACGGGAATGATGCTTGTGGATCGGCTACTGCTTCTGATAATATTCTAGAGTCATGCGCTACCCCTTCCCACCCGGTCACAACAAATGTAAAAATCATATTGAAGTCACATATTGCCAATACGTTTTGGTAGCAATCTCCCTTTCCCCTACTTCTATATAAGTCTTGTTTCTTAGCAGGGACAACAGCATGTATCAAAGTGCCATCAAGTGCACCAACTGCTCCTTTGAAAACCCTTCGTAGCCTCCTATTATGTCCTGGAATGTTTGGATTCGGATTAAAAGATGTTGGTACTATAACATCTTGTGCGAAAAGCATCATTTTTTCCAACACTTCGTAAAAAAATTTATGAATTGTTTGCTTCGAGTGTTGAAATCTCCGCTTGATAATCACGTAACGTTGATTATGTCCGATCATCATCAAAAACATAGCCATCTTTTCCTCAACTGATACATGTTTGCTGTCCTTTAATGAGTAATTTGCTCTAAAATGAGCACATAGTCGTACAAAAGATTCACGGGACATGCGTAATACTTCAACACATTGTAAACGATTACGGTGTAATAACTCCAATGTGTATTCGTGTCCCGTCATTTCCGAATCATTATCCCGCAATCGTTTCACACCCCTCTTCCAAAAATAACGGATGTATAGGTACATTAGAATTACGAGAAGTAACTTTTGATCGTGATCCATATGAACCTAAAATCAACAAAGTAGAACTTTAAAAAACATTACATAAACCATATTTCAAGTATCAAATAAACATTCCATTAATCATATTTCAAGTACCAACAAGGGCAAAAAGACCTAACAAAATAGTTCCAACAAAGGCAAAAACATTTAACAAAGTAGTTCCAACAAGGGCAAAAAGACCTAACAAAATAGTTCCAACAAAGGCAAAAACATTTAACAAAGTAGTTCCAACAAGGGCAAAAAGACTTAACTAATACTTTCAACACTAGAAAATCATCGAACAATCTTCCCATCCTTCAAAACTCCTAAACTGGTACCCGTCATCTCAAGCCACCCTCGTAATATCTCGGGAACATCGGGCAAATGCATCCACATCTCTCTCATGTTCATGGTTCCTCCAAAAATATGATATGTGACAAAGCGTAAAGGATCTGTAGGGCCTAACTGAAGGACCTTTAACTTCTCTAAACACTGAGGAATTGTATACCCTTTAGTCAAACTTTGTAGAGCTTTCTTCATTTCAAATGCTAAATCGTCAGCAGTAACAGAAGTTCCATCAGGTGAAGAAGCAGACGGTGAGGCACTAGGAGCTACAGGAGTTGAGGGTTTAGCCCTTTTGTTGGGGTTACCGGATGGTGTAGTAGTATATGGTGAACCAGTATATGGTGAACCAGCAGAAGGTGAAGCAGCAGAAGGTGAACCAGCAGAAGGTGAAGCTGCAGAAGGTGAAGCAGCAGAAGGTGGTGGCTCATGATGAGAAGTGTCAACACCATCATCATCCATTGCATCAAAAGGGGTGGCGGTGATCTGAAGTGGTGGAACACGACAGGAGGATGCGCCAGCTACTGATGATGATTGGGTTGAGTAACTCCTAAAATTACCAGTAGCACTATTTCCATCAAAAAGACGTGCACAAAGATCTGGAAAAGGCAATGGAATTGTTCTCAAAGAAGCAGCTTTCGGATGCCCCTAAACCCAAATGTAACAAGAAATAGTATAAGAATATTTGGCAACTTAAAACGTAAATGTTATATATATATATATATATATATATATATATATATATATATATATATTGTATATTAATGTATATGTACCTTCTTAAAATCATCCCACTCCTCGGCTGTTAAATTAAAAGTGTTTGTTTGAGAATTGTATATATTACCGGTTTTGTTTTTTAAATATACCCATCCAGTGTATTTGGCTTTCAGATTGTCATATGCGTTTTTCATTTGTTTTTGAGTCAACTCAACCCCAAATTTCTCCTTAAGGACTCTTCCAAGCCTTATCCATGAATCTTTCTGCAAACTCAATCCTTTTCTACCAACACTCTCTACTTCTTCAATACAAGTATCCAATAAGCATTTTAAGTGCTCATTGGTCCATTGTTGTTTTTCTCCCATCTCTAATAACCAAATAACAATAAAAGTGAACAAGTAACATCATTATTTCAAGAAAAAGTTTTTATTTTCACGACAAATTTGTAATTTTGTTTTATTTTCAATCACAATAATGTGAAACTTTTTATTCAATTATAAATAACCTCAATTAGAGTGTTTTAATTCAAAGTTTTCTAAAAACTTTATAAATCAAATAAACTTCACTTTAATTCAAAGTTTTCTAAAAACTTTATAAATCAAATAAACTTCACTTTAACGACAAAAACTTTACTTCTATAAAATAAACAAAACTTATGTCTCTTTTTGATGCTTTCTATCATATACATACAAAATCAACAATCATATAAATATACACAATCAATAATCATATATATATATATATATATATATATATATATATATATATACAACTTTGAATTACTGTATATTTAAGTAATACAATCAATTCTAATTATAAGCATTGTTGATAATATGGGTGCTACTGTTACAGGTTTAACATCTAGGTTCAATTGCTAATTGAAGCACAAACACATACACAATTGGACTTTTTCGATCAAACAAACCAAGCTGGAGATGTTACAGGTTTAACATCTCGGTATTTCATTCAAAATCAAATCCAATTTCACATTCAAAGATAAATTACTTTCATTACAAATGTTTTTATTTTACAGCTCTTTTATGAGTTATGCATCAATTAACATAAATTCTGAACTATAGCTTCAATGCAACAGAAAGAAGGGAATAACAGAAAGTATATATGTAGAAGGGAATAACAGAAAGTATATATGTAGAAGGAAGTCGACGGTGTAGCTGACAGCAGGAAAAAAAAAAAAAAAAAAAACGAACCTGTGAGTGAGGTCTCCGATGTAGCTGTGGGGGCGACGGTCTCCGGCCGGTGGCTTCACAGGGGAGTCGCTGGTTAACGGCGGCGAGCAGGGTGGAGTACGATCGATCGAGGGTTGTGGTTCGCCGGCTGCTGCAATCGACTATAATGGTCGGAAAATCGGAGGACGCCGGATCGGAGAGGAAGGCGGCGATCGATGGCTTTGATCGGAGAGGAGGGTTGCGACGGTGGTGGTCGCTGCAAGGTGGAGCACGATCGATCGGAGAGGAGGGTTTTTTCTGGGAGGGTTAGACGAGGACTGGAGGCGGAAGCAAAAGAAAAAAAGACGCGTTTTTTTTTTTAGGTTAAAGGGCTTGCAGACTTTAGAAGATGCTATCCCATATCTGTGTGGTGAAGGCCTCGCGCAGACGTTTTTATGTCTGCGCACTTCAGAAAAACAAACAGACTGCAAACCATTATGTCTGCGCGTGGTCTGCGCCTCGCAGACAGAAGAGGTCATGCAGACCTGCAGAGAAAAAACAAACACCCTCTTAGTCTTCATCCTAAATACTTTCAGTTCGTCTTCTCGATGATGAAGATAGGAAAGTCCTAAATCAAAATCTTCATTAGGGTTTCATTGATGTTAATTGTTAGGAAGGAAATGGATATGAATACCGATAAATGTTCCAAATGCAAGATAAACATGAACATGTTAATGATTCAATCATTGTATTTGTTTTGATTTGCTCCAGGTCAAACCCTTGGTTTGTTTTTGATGAAGATCATGGTTCTTTTATTTGCTTCGAGTTATATCATTTGTTTGTTTTTGAGGAAGATCTCGATTCCAAATGCAAGACGATGGTTGAAACCTAAGCAACAAAAGCGATGATGTCTTTCATTATCGATGAAGATCGCGATGCTTGAAGCATGTTATTCCTTAAGTAGCTAAATCTATTTTGAATCAGAACTCCTAGAAACATGTTTATACCATTTTTTGTGTTGAAGTTTGTTAGTTGCCATTTTATTTGTGATCCTTTTCATCAAAATAGAGAAGAAGAAAGTAAAGGAGAGAGAGAGAGAGAGATTTAAACTATAAATCATTTAAAAAACAGAAACAAAACAAAAATGATAGTATTTGTTATGTCTCAAATACTTAACATTGATTTGCTAAAGACATCAGTTATAAGGACTTATTGCGCAAAATTTTCAAACTATGGGATCAGCCGGTGTACAAAAAAATTATCATATGAAACCATATGTATCATTTGTGTAATTTAGTTTTATTTATTTAACTCTTTGAATATAATATAATATGATATAATATAATAGGAATAGACTAATCAAAATTTTTGAAGTTTCCTAAGTTTCCTTTAACTATTTTGAACGACAAAATATTGATTAGAATGTATAAATTTATAGGAAAATAATTACTCGAAATATGAATATATAAAAATTACTAGATTCAACTGCATATTCTAAATTTTGGACGTTTATGAATAACCAATAATTTCAATAGACAACAAAGAATTTGATAAATTCAAGAAACTAAATATTTTATTAAAATGAAACCAATTAAAAGATCCCAATCTTTATACAAAAGGGTCACCACATACATCCTAGTTTCTTTCAAACAAGGCTGCAATGTTGTCGAGAGCTTTAAACACGAAGTCCAAAAGAACCTCTAGGTTTCTTGATTTCATCTCTTGATTAGATAATTTTCATCAATCATTTTGCAATTTATCATTATTTTCTTTTTTTCCTTGTTAGGTATAATGAAGGAAGTTGCCGATCATCGCTCTCGTTATGTGAATACGATGAGATCTTCATTGGTTGCATGGAAAATGAGCCACTTGTGCTTTGTGATAGTGATGCAACACATGAAGATTGTAGGTATAAATGGAGATTGAAAGATGTGATGGGGGCGTCTGTTGGGGTTGTTGGAGAGACATCGTTAGGTTTGATAGAGAAAGTTGTGTTTTTGGATGGTACATATAACGTGTTGAAAAGGTTTAGAATGGTTTGTGTAAGAAGGAGGGAGTTTGGGCGACGTGTATCTCGATTGGCAGCAATCGGACGACGTTGTGATTATCTTGTTCAAATGAAGGCATATCTTTATTCTAAGAGATTCAAGTTTGTTGTTTGTGACTACTACCCGATGGGTAGTCTATACGATCTACTTACAGGTATGTTCTTTTTATCTCATTATAAACATTCAGAGTAATTGAAACTACAATTGTTTATTGATTCACTCTTTCGGTCCAACATTTGAAATTTTGACAAGATGCAACACCTTAAATTCATTTATGTTCACAACAAGATTTGAACCCTCAACCTCAAGGTAGAAGGGCAACATCGGATACCACTATTATATATATATATATATATATATATATATATATATATATATATATATATATATATATAAGTAAAAGAAAAAATATAAAAGTAAGGGTAAAATGATCTTTTTAAATGGACTGAAGATGTACAGTGTAATTTTTTTAAACCACATAAATACATCTTATCTAAATTTTAAAAGTTAAACTAAAAGTGCGAATTTAACAAAACCATAGAGACCAAAACTGTCATTTACTCTTTATTATATAATTAAATTAAATATGTATTTATACACAAATTTCTCCATTTTGTTGATATATGCAACACATGTTTTGTAAGCGAAATATACAAAAATGTTTAAGAAAAAAATACAACCAAGAACTAGCTATCCCACAAGTCTTTTTTTTTTTTTTTTTTTTTTCAGATTTCCGACTAACATTTAGCTTTTAAGCTATTCTTTTTGTCCCAAAATTATTGTTTACAGACAAAAACACACAGATCAAATAACCATTAATTACCACTAATTTTATTAAATAAAATAACAGTGATATCGTTTTGTTGCATTTAAATTTATGGTAGTTGCATTTAATTTCATAGTAGTTTAACTAATAATAAGGGTATTTTGGTAAAATGTATATTTATTTTTAGAAGTAGGCTATTATTTTGGAACAAACCAAAAAAGAAACATGAACTATTAATATTGACTAGCTTCAATCAATTCGTCGAACACATAACATAGTTTAGTCTCATAATAGAATACCCTTGCATATTTCATACATATAAAAACATACTTTGTTGCATAGACAAAAAATATGAACTTACTAAAATCTTAGATATTGCAAGTTCATATCCGAAAATCTACACAATGATTCCTTAACAAGGAGTCCTATATTAACTCATGAAAAGAAATTGTGTTTTCTATTATATGCTTAATGAATGGTCATATAAACGCATTGACAATTTTTCATGGGCTCCATTATTTTAGGCGCAAGAGAACATGACCACACCCCACTAACGTGGAAGCAAAGGCTAAAGATAATCTTGCACATAGCAAAAGCCATAAGTTTCATCCATTCACAATCACCCGCACGAGACAGAAACATGATCATGAATATCCATGGCAACCTTAAAACCTCCAACATTATGATAGATGTTGATTTTAATGCTTATTTATCAAATTACGGTTTTACCCAACTTGCAATGGAAGTTCCCGACACTGGTCAACGAAAACCACCATCACCAATACTCCGTTGTGAACCTTTGTCACAAAAGAATGATATATACAACTTTGGAATAATTATGTTGGACATTTTGGGAGGATCAAAGGCACTTGAGTCACTAAAATGGTGTTTCGAAAGAAAAGAAGAGATTAAAGCTAAAGAATGTGAGTGTTTTGAGTTCCCTTTTGAAGGGAAAGATCAAAGAAAGATTTTGAAAGTTTGGAGCATGGCCTTGGCATGTACAAATAGGTCAAATGATGCTAGGCCTTCAATAGAGACTATACTCTTACATTTAGGCAAGTAATACACTTCTCATACGTTAAAAAAGCTTTTTGAATTTTTAAATCTAGTTTAATATTGATATTATTACACATCATATATAATATATATTGTTAAATAAAGATCCATTATTATTTGTAGTATGCAGAACATCCTTTTAACATATTTGTGTCCGAAAACATAAATCAATCAAATTTGGTTTTATTACAAAGGATTTTTATTGTTATTGTAAATATACGTTAGAATATTGAATATTCACCATTTCCATGTTGGGGATCCAACTGCGGATCCAATGGATGATCCAAATGAATGCCAAAGACAATCCATATATATCTCAACTAATACAATGAA